CATAATGGCAGCCATGCCCCCACTCCTGGGACATTGAAATTATCATGCTTGTACTGGAAAGACTGCTGCTAAGTGACAAGGTAATAACAGTATTCTCAAGACAGAGCTCCCAAGTTGTCTCGAAATTACTAGCTACTCTGGGCAATTAAAACAATTATAATTATGTTTGTTTCCATGAAGTGCTTAGGACTAAATCCATGCAGTGTGCATGAGGCACAACCAGATTCCAAATGGTTGCTGGAGTTTTCTTCTAAACTTGAAATCAGTTCTCTGTCAGGTAATGTGGAGTCCAACAGGACCCCAAGGAAGCCACTCAAAACTCCGCACTCCAAAGCCTCATTCTGAGAGGGTGGAAGCTGAGATCCAGCCCAAGTAAGACACTGGCCTGGGGGCTATCGGAAAGTGAGTAGCCCACCTAGGAATGGAACCCAGGACTTCTGGCCTGGTAATGTGCTCATGTCGGGCTACCAAGCTGTTGTAAAATATAAAGGGAAAACTAACAGCTAAGTGTATGAAAGATAAGAAGAAACAAGCAGGGTCTCCTGAATGTGCTCTGCTACTGAGCTGTCCTCACATCCCAACACTTGAATGTCATTCCTCTAGCTCCTCTTTCATATCAGTCCGGCTCCCTGATGCCATCATCCTTTGTCACCTTCCTTTCTCATCTTTGTGTCCCTGTATTGTTGATCCTCCTTTCTTGTCACCTGCTTACAACTCTGCTGCCTGTCCCTTTCCATGACATCCTTCCTCATCTGTCCCTGGTTCCGGTCTCTACGGCCCAGCTGAACTGTGAGCTTAGTGAAAGCCATGTTGTTCTGACAGGCTATGAATTCCAACAGAGACCCATCCCTAACATGTTAGGGTGCCAAGGAAATTTGCCCTCTCTCTCCTCTGTCTCTCTCTGTGTCTCTCTCTGTGTCTCTCTCTCTGTCTCTCTCTGTCTCTGTGTGTGTGGGGTGTGTGTGTGTGTGTGTGTGTGTGTGTAGTGGTGAAGAAGGGGGGCAGAGAATGTATGGTCTTTGGAGAAAGAATCCAGGCTGGCCTTGAACTCACAATTCTCCTACTTCACTCTCCTCAGTAAAAGTAGTAAAACCTGGGTGAAGGAATTATGGTTGAAATTTACTTTTTTCTTTTCGATGACCAAAAGTTTGTATATATTTTTGTAATTAGCTTAGTTTCTACCATTTCTGGAAACCGAATATGAAATTCTTTTAATTAAGAAAATTCCCTTCAGGGTATTCTGGGTGGTGCAATGACAGATCAGATGAACTATCACTCTCTTTTGGGGACAATGTGTCTCATTCCATTATTCTTTCAACTTTGTCTCATTTGCCAGGTGTGTTTGCTTGTTGACAACTGAGGACCAAGCTAAGGGAGAAGTTCCACCCAAGAGCAGGGAGCCCTGGCCTCCGTCTCACTTGGGCCCTTTCCAAGTAGCACACTCACAGGAGTCATTTATTCACTCCTTTGCCCCCCAACACACGCGCTTGAGTTCCTGAGCACAGTGCATATAGTCTCTTCCTATGGCTTTGCTGGCTGTTTGGCACTGACTTGGGCCTAATATAGCAGCTACTTGGGATCCAGTTAGCTCTACTTGCCTCTTGACTGGATGCTGCATATGGCGTGCACACAGTAGGTGCTTTCTAAAGATCTGCCAAACCTGGGCCACAGAGATCTAATTTCACTCCAGGGCCTGCCTGCAACTTCCTGCTCCTTTCCTGGTAGCCTAAATTGGCAGGTAAACACCCAACTTCTGAGGACTGACTCATGCTTGAGAGCCTTGAAGTAGTCCAGACTCTACAACCAGAGCCCAGGGGTAACACATTCTTCTCAGCCTGGCTTTAGCCCCATCACAGCTGACCTTTGCCATTTCCCACCCCACCATTGCGATGCAGATACTCTACTGTGAGGGTGTGTATCAGAACTCAAAATTGCTGTCTAGAATTCTCTAGTCATACCCAGGTGCAAGCACAGTCACGCCCAGGGCATTTTTAATTCATATATTTTCTTTAAATACTAAAAGTCAAAAATCAAATGCACAAGAAACAGAAAGCATGATTTGACTTGCAAAATGTGACACGGTGGGGAAGCTGAGAAGAATGTCTAAGTTATGATTAATGTTCAGTGGGAAACTTGGTCCCAATAGATGCTAACCTTCAGGTCTTAAAATTTAGCCATTCCCAATACATGCTTCCCAACACCTTTCCCTTTTGATTGCTTAGGTGGAATTATTTCTGTAGAAGGATCTAGTTAAGCTGACTCACTGCTGTTTATAAATCAAAGCCCAAGATATTCTTCTCCTCTGAATGTTAAATTTGACATTAGTTACTCCGAGTTGTTTCAAATGCAGAAATGTGTTCCTGGTGCATCCACACAAAGACTTCAGGGGCCTTTGTGGATTATTAGAGTCCAGATGACCTTCCTTCTTTGTTGCTCTCTGCAAGAGCCTGAGGCAGGGTGCTTATCATTTCTGGTTATCTCCATTTCAAAGAGTCAGTGAAGGCTTACTGAAATCACACAGTTACACATCTGCATAGAAAAAAATTGATACTCTACTATGTAAAATATGTGCTTTGTCCTTCCTGCCTGAAGATTTTGCCTCCTAAAATCAGCAAACTGGCATTTGGTCTGCTAACTAACCCATCTGAGCTGGGAGTAGTTACCTAGTAGCTGAGAACATGAATAAAATTCTTTGATAGAGTCATACTTATTGAACATGTACTATGTCCCAGGTTAAGAACTACTAAGTCAATATACATACTTTGCGTTCACAGAAATAACAGACCTGA